ACAAACCTTGAACGAATGATATGGGAAATTATTTTCCCATAAAAAAAGGAGACAGTGACATGAAAACAGAGGAATTATAAATATAATATCAATAGCTTGTAAGTCATCAACAGTAGCAAAGAAAGCACACAAATTATTGAGAGAGAAATACGGTGTGACACAACACAATCAATCACAAAGCACAGCCAATCAGAAGAGTTCTCTCTGTTTGCGCTCTTTCTCGCGTATGTGGATATCCTGATAGCAATCACTAAGGTAAGTGGTCTAAATGTATCAGACAACACACGTCACCATGCACGAGTTAATGCTGCCTTCATGTGCTATCGAGATGATTACTTGGGATTTCCCACTTGGGATTATGAGAACATTGCATTCAAATTGGGACGTGAGAGGGCATTCATGTCCAATTTTTTAACTAGGAAACTAGTATTTGCAATAATTCCGATAGCACGTGTAGGCAGCATAAGGCCCATTAAGGCTAACTATAAAGATAATGATAAAGATATAAAAATAGTTCTCAATATTAAAGAATAGCTGAGTCCACACCACAGCTATAACAATGTTATAAATTTGTTATATATATAGATCTGATTTTGAAGGAGGCGTTGCTTTAGAGAGCGCTCTGATGGGAGGGTGGGTTATGCTTTCAAATAGCTTGCTATAGAGGGTTTGGAGCTACGTCACGATTTGGTCAGTTACCCGGATGGATGCGCGGCCATATTGGAGATACTCGGATGTAAACAACAGCATGGATTGCACTGTTTATGTACTACTGAACACATTGTTACACTAATTTATGTCTAAACCACGGAAAAAAACACGTGGAAGCTGCAAAATCATATAGAGAAGGACTTAGTAAGGAGGAAAGAGCGTGACATTTTGACAAACTAAAGTTAATATGTGGTAAAGATCTGAACGAGCTAGCTTCTCTAGCCCTTACTGCAATTCTTCCTTCTATTTCTTATCCCGACATAGGCTACGTTCAGATTGTCAGTCCAAAAAAAGCACATGAAATCTGTTTCAAGCTACATCCATATGTGGTTTGAAATCCTATTCAAATCACATATCAGGAAATCCGCTTCAGTCTGAACGCTCTGATCGGATCTCACGCCACGTAAAATGTAAACGTCATACGTTGTTATAGGGAACATGCTGAAAGTCGCTGCCGAAACAAGGCTGTGTTGTTGAAAAGTGCCGGACGAGCAGAAAATTATTATTTTTGAAACATATTTTGAAACCTGCGCAGATAAGAGCGCGGGAAAAAAGCTGTGCATACCAGCCTCCTACAGTTCTGCAGCAGGCTCAAGACGCAGTAGTCCAGCGCGGCGGCTACACATTTCCATGTTGTAAAATTTAAATAAGACAACATCTCTATTGCAAATGCAAACCCCTCCACCAACGCAACGTCATTGTCATATTGCCAAAGAGCTGCATGGATACACAAAGCGGATCTGGGGTGCGTTTCCCGAAAGCATCGTTAGCCAACTATGGTCGCAAGTTCCGTCGTTACCAATAGAGTTCAATGGAAATTGCGATCATAGTTGGATAACGATGCTTTCGGGAAACGCACTCCTGAACAGTTCGATACAGTGTGGACATCATTTTAGATCAGATTCCAATCGGATACAAAGATAATCAGATTTGGACAGACAGTTTGAATGTAGCCATAGTTAACTACTTTACGTCAACATTTTAGCCATAGTCAACGCTTCATTTATACATGTGGCTGATGCTGTGCCTGTCTCAACCACAAACGCCTTCTTTCATCAGTTTTTTGCACTCTTCTCTTTAACTTTTGGCAGTCTATAGAACTCGAAATGTTTTTTCCCGGTGCGACCGATTAGTACAGACCAAAACACGACCATTTTTCAGCAGCAATAATCAGCCAAATTTGCGAGTCGGTTCAGTTCAGTGGCATTGTTTACATTCAGTGCCTCCAAAATGGCCGACTTCCGGATTGATGACGTGTAGTGAAAACCCTCTATAGCAAGCCTACCCGACCCTTAATCTAGCCTACATAGGCAGAGTTTCACTTTTGTGCTTGGGAGGCACCTACCGGCAGACAGGGGGAGGGTGGGATTATTATTTAATAAATAAATAAATAAATAAATATAACGATAATAAAGGAATTCAAGTATTAAAAATGACTTATTGTAATAAATAAGAATGGTTAAAGAAATTCTTGGGCAAATTCTTGTAGTTATGAAGTAATAACGTTATTTGTATGTCTAATATGTCGGGTTATGATTAGGCAACATGAATCATGATCGCATATTTTCAAATCAAAATGGCTAGTATAAAAAGTAGTTTGTATCACTAGAAAGTCTATTACTTTCTTGTGAAAGTCGGTCGCTGAACATTTCTATCGTAACACAGTAGTCTAATTCTTGCATCTACTTACATCTTTCCACAAACTCTCGTTGCGTTGTAACAGTGACAGTAAGACCCGCCTTCTTTGATTTGATTGGCCATTTTCGATCATTTTGACATTGACGAACGCAGTTAGACAGCTAAGGTAGAGCAGCCTAAAAATGTAATCAGCCTAAATTCTTAACTTTTAAAACTTTTTACAAACAGCTTTACTCATTCTGCCATAGAATGATAAGACAAATAGAATGAGTAAATATGAATTCTATTATATATTGTTTTTTAATAAGATTCATAGATCTGGTGTTAGAAACTCCACCTAAGCAAATCTAACATTTAAAAAAATGAATTATTTTTCCGGGAAAATTGTATAAAGAAATGATCAGGGTCCAAGGTCGTTACTGTATGTACATTGTCATTTTTGTGTATAAACATGTATATCTTTGTATACTGTTGTATACTTTATTATTATTGCTGCATTAGGGATTCCAATTTAGCTGCAGAGAGGAGGGACATCTCGTAATGTTGTAAATTTTTTTTTTGATAACTCTTTTTATGTTCTACAAGTCTGAACAACTTGGGGACGAGAAGACAATGACAATGTTTATTTCATTTTATTTCATATTTTTGCCAAAGCATTTTAGACAATGTTTTTAACCAACAACTTAAAGAATACAAATAATTTCAGTTGTACACTCACCTAAAGGATTATTAGGAACACCTGTTCAATTTCTCTTTAATGCAATTATCTAATCAACCAATCACATGGCAGTTGCTTCAATGCATTTAGGGGTGTGGTCCTGGTCAAGACAATCTCCTGAACTCCAAATTGAATGTCAGAATGGGAAAGAAAGGGGATTTAAGCAATTTTGAGTGTGGCATGGTTGTTGGTGCCAGACGGGCCGGTCTGAGTATTTCACAATCTGCTCAGTTACTGGGATTTTCACGCACAACCATTTCTAGGGTTTACAAAGAATGGTGTGAAAAGGGAAAAACATCCAGTATGCGGCAGTCCTGTGGGCGAAAATTCCTTGTTGATGCTAGAGGTCAGAGGAGAATGGGCCGACTAATTCAAGCTGATAGAAGAGCAACTTTGACTGAAATAACCACTCGTTACAACCGAGGTATGCAGCAAAGCATTTGTGAAGCCACAACACGCACAACCTTGAGGCGGATGGGCTACAACAGCAGAAGACCCCACCGGGTACCACTCATCTCCACTACAAATAGGAAAAAGAGGCTACAATTTGCAAGAGCTCACCAAAATTGGACAGTTGAAGACTGGAAAAATGTTGCCTGGTCTGATGAGTCTCGATTTCTGTTGAGACATTCAGATGGTAGAGTCAGAATTTGGCGTAAACAGAATGAGAACATGGATCCATCATGCCTTGTTACCACTGTGCAGGCTGGTGGTGGTGGTGGTGTAATGGTGTGGGGGATGTTTTCTTGGCACACTTTAGGCCCCTTAGTGCCAACTGGGCATCGTTTAAATGCCACGGCCTACCTGAGCATTGTTTCTGACCATGTCCATCCCTTTATGCCCACCATGTACCCATCCTCTGATGGCTACTTCCAGCAGGATAATGCACCATGTCACAAAGCTCGTATCATTTCAAATTGGTTTCTTGAACATGACAATGAGTTCACTGTACTAAAATGGCCCCCACAGTCCCCAGATCTCAACCCAATAGAGCATCTTTGGGATGTGGTGGAACGGGAGCTTCGTGCCCTGGATGTGCATCCCACAAATCTCCATCAACTGCAAGATGCTATCCTATCAATATGGGCCAACATTTCTAAAGAATGCTTTCAGCACCTTGTTGAATCAATGCCACGTAGAATTAAGGCCATTCTGAAGGCGAAAGGGGGTCAAACACAGTATTAGTATAGTGTTCCTAATAATCCTTTAGGTGAGTGTATATTTGCACTTGGCTCTAAAATCTTAAGGTGAATGTGTCCATAACCAATCGTGAAACTTTTAAAAGTCAAGGTGTCCAATTTTTCTTTAAATACTTTCATCTTTCCATTTTAATGCGATACTAAGTCATGTATGTTGATTTTCTCGACAATTGAACATACTGTAGTGCTTTCAGTACTGCTTGGTTGTTTCATTGACCTTGAGATGACAATTTATTGCTCAGCCAATGGCGTGAATTTGGGATGGAAAAGGGGTTGTGGTTGTGAAACCTGCTTAAAAACATTTATGTTTTGTAATGTCATTTGATGCCGCTAGTGGTCTGAAATGACTCCCTTCAGCAAATGCCGTTACATACACTAATGTCTCTTTCTCTCATTCTCATTCCTCTTCTGCACAGAGCTCTAATTAATCCCGAGCAGATAATGTGGTGTGCGGCCTTTGTAATTATCACACGGAACTCTTCATTCTCCAATAGCCTGAATTTCATCTCAAATTTAAAAATTGGACCATAATCACAGATGCATATCACCTCTTCATCTTAATTGATAATTACTGCTGTGTTAATTTGCAGCCATCTATTATCACAGATGCAGGTAGAGTTTTTATCAGGGGGCTGGGAGATACTGGAGGACTATTCGTCTAGTTCAGTGATTCTCCTCCTCAGATATGCAGCTAGAGGTAAGTTTCAAAGTTTTAAAATGACAACTATGGCGACTAATTGTTTCAAATGCATATTTATTGAAAATGTGTTATATAAACGACAACATTTTGTACATACATAGTATTAATGTATAAAGTGATACTAGGTGCACAGATCATTCTGTTTTGTAAAAAGTTACATAGAAGGTTCACATGATTATCGCATTCAATAATACTTTTATTTATTATGTTGCCTGAACTCTGAATACAGAGAGAGTTTTTTTGTACCAAAATACATGTGAAATCATTAAACATGAAATACTATAAAAAAAAGTAAAGAATCTTAAACCAAACCCCATTTTTGTGGGATAAAAAGGCAGGCAGCCCGTTCATAGGTGTGGATTCAGGTGGGAACGCTGAAAGCCCAGGAAGACGTGCGGTTCTCATCCTTCCTCTGTGTCAGAGGTTCTTTTGACTCTCCTTTCCTTTTCCTGAAAAACAACCTCTTTTTCTTAATCTTCCTCTGTTTATATGACTTCACATTCAGGACAATTATCATGAGTGCTACGATGCACTGTGGTATTTTTCACATAATATTCCAGATTTACTAAAATAGTATGAAATAGTTGTACTTTCTGTTATGCATGATCAAATCTGTGTAAAAAAGTTAATATTCTAAGTTGCAGTTCATAGTGACACATTGTTTTGCATCTCATACAGTGGCTTAATATCCTTCCGTAATAGAAAACTAAATTCAAATTGAGTATATGGAGTGCTCTAAAATAACGCCCTTTCATCCTTAAACGTGCAAGCAGACAAACATTAGAATACATATACCACAGTTTCAAATTGTAAAGATTGTACAATAATGTGCCAATAAAAAATGGTGCTGGAATGTGTTAATAACTGGATCTAGCCGATCATTTAAAGGCCAACATTTAGCCTACAAACACAAAAACATATGGAGGGACCGTCTGAGTGGGACTGAGCTACATTTGAATCAATGCTAATATGTAGCTTTGGCTATTAAGACGGATATTACCCAGCAAAATTGTTAGTAAAAAACACGTAAACACCTGTCCAAAATGGTGGGCACACTGGTGCTTGCTCTAGAAACATCGTACACAAGGTAAAAAACAAAGGGTGAGGTTAAACAGCTGCCGTCATTGTACTCTTCTGTCTCGGGTCTGAGTGTCGTGCCTCTCCGTACGCGTAGCGCTCTGGGCTGCTGTTGCGGTAGCCCCCGCGGTTCATGGTCTCGAAGCGAGGGCCTCGGAGGGGTATGGTGGGAGAAGGGGGCACATCCTGCCGGAGGGGGCCTCTCTGCTGCGGAGGAGGGTGATAGAACCCCGAGTCGTTCTGCCGAGGGTCCACCGGGTGAGGGTAGTTATCCCTGGGAAGGTAGCTGGGGTGGTAGCCTGACTGTTGGTTTGGGTAGTGCGAGGGCTCCCTGTGTCCGGCCCACGGCTGCACTGGATACTCAATAGGTTCGACTGGTGCTCTTCTGCAAGACAGGAAAGTTAAAGGAAATAAAGTTAGGATCTGGAAGGAGATGGTCAGTGTAAGCATGACTTTCCCATGATCAAACATGATTTTAGCTGTTTCAAGCTCTTAAGGAGCCTGGTTCATTGACCACATAACGAACACTGTTTGCATTAAGCAAGTGAGTGATAGTTACCTATTAAGGTACCTATGAAGAGTGCTTCGAATTAGTCACTTGAGTTTCTCTTTTAGTTAGAATGCTACCTTAAAAAGTAGCTACCTATCAGTGGCGAGGCCAGAAATCTTTAAATGAGTGGACCTTAATGCCTACTCTTTACATCATTTTACAATACATGGGGATAAAAATAGATTGACAATTAAGATTAGATAAACGGGATTTATTGTTAGCCAAAATTGTCACGAAAACAACACAATCCAACAAAAAAGAACAACGAAGGAAAATAATCACAGGTAGAGCGTGTGTAAAGCTGAGTCTTCCCCTGGACTAGCGTGGAGTTGCTCACTCAAAACACTACCTACTACTGCTTCTGATCACTTTTAGAGGGAAAGCTGTTCATAACTGCTGGTCTAGGATATTTCCCCCCCCTAATAATAGCATATTGGTGATTTGGCAAATGATCCAGTGCGTATCTGTGTTTGCGCTCTGGAAAGCATCAAAGGTTTCTATTTACAACAAGCTTTTCTGTGTTGAGCAATGTAGCCAGTCACTAGGAGCTTAAAGAGTTGGATCTGCAGGTTGTACGCTAAAATGCTGCAGGGATAAGGTGCCTGAGGTTGAACAGATAATACAGTAACCCCTAATCCGACCAGTGGCATTTTGTCGAGAGTGAGAAGGGACGGAGGGAGGGAGAGAGTGAGTGAGTCCCGGTATCATGATCCTGTGTTACATATGCTGAGGCAAGCGTGACATACCAAGGACCTGCAACATAAACATTTTAACACGTCTCAAGCAGATACAAAGTCTGGTACAGGGACTGACATGCGGTCAGGGTCCCTGGAGACGGTAGACAGTCGGCCATCTCTGGTTTCCTCACACTGGCTGATTAGGGTATATTCTCCGCTGTAAGGCGAGACACTGCGCCATAATTCAGCAAGGGGTCACCTTTTATAGCACAATTCGCATTTTTCCGGCTCTTGCTGCTGTGCTCTGAACACAGAGTTCCAGAGGCTTTAGCTGGCAGTTACATTACACCTCGGCTGAAAGACGGCCAGATTGAGGCCGATGAGAACGAGAGCGAAGACAAAACCAGGCAGAGGGCAGTACGCTCGCCCGCTTGCGCTGGACTGCCGAATCAGCTGTCTTCCTTCCACACTTTCTTTGATGATTATAAAGTTTAAAAGAGTTATTTGTAACATTAAAAGTCTTTCCTGTCACTTTTAATCCACTTATAATCTATGTGACCCCGAACTTTTGAATGGTGGTGTATATATATTTTAGCTTTATATATGGTAACCTATAGGTATATGTAACGATCAGTACGATCGTCTGCTTTTGCTGTAGTGCCGAATCAGCTGTCTTCCTTCCCCCCCCTTCCCATTCTCGTCATACCTCAGGCTAGTATCAATGACAGCCTCGGCATGCCAGATGTCTTAAGGAGCCTGGATCGTTGTGTTCGACTTTCCAGACCATCCCCATTAACTTATTTACGTGTACGACGAGTCTGTGAACAAGCTTTCCGTCTGACGGCTCTCTGCAGTATCAATTAGCTACTTTTAGTGCAAGACGGCCTGCGTATGTGTTTCACACGTATTGCGTTACTCCCACTGAATGTGGATAACAACAGTCTGAATGCCCTTGACGGAAAGCGCACTCTTTCGCTGTGGTCTGGCTTCTCACAAGGGAGGGTTTCCTGAAGACCTGGAGGGCAAGAAAACAGGCATTCCAAAAATCATCAGCATCCTCTTAATCTCTCCAAAGCTGTGACCACCCATCCAGCGGGACAACTGGGCGTCTGGATGCACGCACTCCCTCCTGACCCTCTCAGTCAAACATTCGCTTATCATTGGCTGTGACGTCACAGCCTCAACAGTCTCAGATAAGCAATGTGTGTATGTGTGTGTTTGCAAATTGGAGGCCAGTGAAGGCCAAAATCATCATCACTGCTGGAGATTATCAGCTTTACCGCATGCGGTGGCTGCCTCCACCTGGTTCTGCCAGCTCACCTCAAGTCCAGATCATTAACAATTAATCTTTCATGTTCTCAAACCTATAGTCCTCCAACAAGCTAATACAAAACACATAGCCTACAGTTTAGATGAGGCTATAGGGACGGAAGGACACAAGAGGCCTAGTGGGGTGAAACATGTTCCACTGTGAATACGAGCAACAGCTGGGGAAACCAGTGGCACTGTCCATTTCCCTTTCCATGAGCAGGGTACAAAATAAGGCCTGGAACTCTTTCTTTTTTTTCCCTTTTTTTTTTAAATGGTCAGTGTATGGAGGTCCTTGAACTTAAGAAAATATTGAATGTTAACCTCAAAAGAGCTGCTTTATGTTCTATAGGTTTTCCCATATTTGAAACCCTGTTGTAATCCAATTTTCCCCAACTTTTGAGACAATATTTTAAAGCAATTTTCTTCCTAAAAATTAACATTAAATAAACATCTATATTAAAATAAAAATATATAAAATAAAATAAACAAGGTTTGTGTTCAAAATGTGGGACATTTCTGGTAAAATTCCAATTAGTTAATATTCTATAGAATATGGCCCCTATATCATACACCCGTCGTTTTTGGCTAGTTTCACCCGGACGCAGTTATCGTTTTCACGTCCTACGCCATGTTTAAATAGCAAATGCATTTGTGGCGAATTTCCGGCTTTTTGTGTTTTCACCGTTATACGGTAGTAGGGGGTGCTATTAAGGCATCTTCTGAAAGAGTACTGAATTTCCTGATCAAAACACAGGCGAAGAAGAAGCAGAAACAAGCTATATCATATGTAAGCATATGTAAAATAACACGATCATCAACATTAAACAGCCTATAAATCAAAACTGCCTAATGAATGAAATGTCGACCCAGGATGGGCTATAGGACTGTGCAGCTTTTGGGGGCGTTGATGGACTTGATCTACTCCATCTATGTTTTGATCATCGTTCTGAATCCCATCCAGATGTAGTAAAAAAAAAAAAAAAAAAAAAAGATTTTCTCAGCTTTTTGCTCAAAATGTTGCTTTTTTTTATGAAACTTACCCACATTCAAGTGTTAATAAAGGAATGCATGTTTGTTTGTTTAAAAGCAGAGGGTCTGTTCTTTCTTTTGATATAATGCTTATTCAGATATTCATACAACAAAATATTCTTGGGGCTATGAAACTTCCGTGAAAATTATTTAAAAAATGCTGCCGGTGGCTGACAACTTAAAAAAAAAAAACGCTGGCGGGGAAAGAGTTAAAATATTTTGTAGAAATAAACATTAAATCTACTATAAAATAAAAAGTTTCTGGTGACATTTCTGGTAAAATTAGTTAATATTCTATAGAATTGATTTAATATTCTATATAATCTATCAAGAAGGTCAAGACCTATAGTGGAACAAGTCAAGTCAAGTCAAGTCACCTTTATTTATATAGCGCTTTTTACAATACAGATTGTATCAAAGCAGCTTCACAGTGATAACATGAAAATAATATAACAAAGTTTGTTTCTAAAAGAAAATTGCGTCAATGTCCACCTTAAGTAAGGCAGATCAATAATATTATTGAATATTAAATGTCCCCAACAAAGCCAAGGCAACAGTGGCAAGGAACCAAAACTCCATCAGGTGACAGAATGGAGAAAAAAACCTTGGGAGAAACCAGACTCAGTCGGAGGGCCAGTTCTCCTCTGGCCAACGAAGGCCAACGTTGGCCAAAATGTGCCTGTAGGAACAGGCTAAAATCACAATTTTTAAAAGACATTTTATGAGTTTAAAACTAGGACACCAAAGTGTACCATATTCCTTTAACGTGCCTACAGTATTATACTGCCCCCCTTCTTTAATTTTGACCCCTCATGCCTCGCCTTTAAAAGAAGAGAAAGCTGGGAAAACAGGAAGAGGCATCAAGTTATTTGGAAAAAGCATGTAGTCTAAGGATCAGTAAACAAGTTAGGAAGTTTAGAAACATTAAACCCATTATTTTCTAAGTATCTCATGGCAGTAAATTTACTACTCAGTCCTTGAAATCCTGATTTTTTCGTACTAAATGTGTTACAGTGGTATGTGGCCCACTGGGACACATTTCCCTCCTGGTTTAAAGACTCTGTGCAACAGCCTTTGGAGCTTGGTTGGGAATTATAAGACATTCTTAATGTGCAGTTATTTAAATGGTTTTGCGGGCTCAACAGCTGGGAGCAGCTGTTTTGAGCACCATGGACCTTAGTCAGGGTAGACGGCATATTAATTGACTTGAATGAAAATGAAGCTGTGAGGGATAGTACAGGCTGTTCAATAAGACATACTGTCCCACGGCGATGGGTCAGATAAAATAAAATAAAATATACATAACTAACTGAATAATATATATATTTTTTAATGCAGTGAAAAAAATCTGCATCGGGAGGAGTTGTCTCCTTGGGAAGAGTTCTGGACACATATTACAGTAAAGTCTCAAAATGAATAGATAACCACTTTGTATTTTGTCTTGTACTGTATTTTATTTCATGGTCAAAATGTGCCTGTAGGAACATGTAAGCCTCCCTGTTTTTATTGTAATGTTGTACTCCTGTCACCTATCAACCTATCACCAAAAAAAGCTATAAAAAAAAATAATAAAAAAATCCTGCGTCGGCATCAACCCCGATTAAGCTCCACGAAAAAAAAGAAAAAAAAGAAGCGACCACATACAGTACCTCAAACATTTTGAGCTTTACAAAACCATTCAGAATGATTACGGCATGATTCTCTTTTGATAGCCACATGGATATAAACAGTGCAGACTAAATTAGTCCCCTGGGAAACTCCTGCGACGTAAAGAGCTAAAAAACAAAATGATCCTCCTTCACCGAATGAACAATGAAAGGTATATTAAAAATCTGCCGCCAGTTCTCCATCATGCAGTGAGCAGATGCAGGCAAAATTATATTCTGGGGCTGTTTTACCATTACTTTCAAATGGTGATGACAGTCATAAGCCAGCGTGTTATACATGGAGACATCTTCACTGTCTCAGGCTCTTCATATCAGCCAAATTCCAAAGCGAGTAAGAGACTGCTGTCTTCATCTGGGCTTCCTAAACACATTAAGCACTTATGAAACTTGAGGTAACAAAGTTTCCCTCCTAAAATGAGATTTCATTACCAACTGAATGACTCTTTAATGACAGAGAAACCAAAACAAAAGAGCAATATAGGTAAAGTGAGAAATAATGAATGATAAACGCTTCCGTCGTCCATCACCAAAGAGAAAAGAGGGGAAAAAAAAACAGAAGGTGCCAGCTGCTCGCTCCTCAAACCTTCATCCTGGAACATCAACTCCGGTGTCTGATTGGTGAATGTTGTCTAGAGAACGTCTGTTATCTAGTTTTTTGGCGTTTTCATTGAGGACTGTCATGTTCTGCTGCCTGTTAAGCCCCTCGCTTGAGGAGTTTATAGCTGACATTCATTTTTGACACATGTAAACATTCAAAGCAGAGTATCCTAGCTACAGGAGCTGCCGTAAAATAAGAGCCATGTTATGGAGATTACATCAGAGCTCCTATAGCGCACCTGGCTGCAGAAGTAACACCGTGGACCATCTGAAGGTCATGCTGTTTATTCAGCTGCCCTCGGGAATCACGCACCTTACCCTCACACACACAGACACATACACAAACACACGGCCTTACTGACCCCTGGCCGTCATATAACACCGGGTCGGCTCCCACGGAGAAGACAAGTCCTGGAAGGATTATTTGGTTAGAATTCTAGCCTTACATTAGGAGTGGAGAAACCGAACACAACATTCAGCTCTCATAACAAACTTGGTTAACAAGATAGGTGTCTATCCATCAGAAATGTTATTGTACGGCCTAGAATGTAATTATACAAATTAGGAATGATATTAGGCTTAAAAACGGATTATTTTGCCACATCTAATTGAATTTCAACCTTAAATCGACTGCTTTAATATCTGCAGTAACTGAAGATTCGCATCACAGATGGCTTTGACAAAAGGGAAGTGAAAATGAGCAACTCTTTTACTCTTTCTCTTTTACAACACTCAGCCTTGAGAGTGTGAAATGAATAGGCGTCTGTGTGTATGTGGGAGAACTGTATGAAAGGTGTGTGACGGGTGCTACATGTCTTCAAAGATGAGTCAGGCGGTTAAGTGGTCTCATTCTCGTGAAGTTTGAAATAGATCCGTGGATTTTGCAGATCCTGCATCTCAGGCTGAGAATGCCCAAGCATGAATAATACCTCCCTGAAACCGTGCCAAATGCCCAGCTATTCCAAAACCTCGAAGCGAATTCTGAGCGCTGAATGAGTAATGATTGAGCGCATTTGCCGTAGCAAGTGAAACCATCAAAAAATTTCCGCCAGCTTCATTTAATCATTAGCCTAATATTCTCCATCTGCTACCTGCCCAGTGTGGTAATGGACGCCGGGGTTGAACGGTGCTAAATGAGGTTCGCTCTGTTGAAGTCACGCTTTGCGTGCTTGTCCTGCTATTGGACAGGACACGGTCTGGGCAGAAGCTTGCAGTTTGCAGCTTATCGGACACCTATATGTGCTCACCTGCGGGAGACTCCGAACAGCAATCAGCCATCATGTCTTTTTGATGCCGACGACAATTTACAAACCTGACGCGCCTCGCAGGAGGATGAAAATTTCATGAATTTCAGAAGGAGACTAGAGAAGGAAAGAAAAGGCAGGGGGAAAAAGTGAGAAATCGGACGACAGGGTGAGAAGGTCCAGCCTAGCACAGATGGTGGGTGTTGGTTGCCAGGGCAACATTGAACAGGCAGAACAATGAAAATATGGCATTATTTTCAGAGCTCTCATCAAATGTAACCTTCTTCCCTCATCATGAGCTCTTTTCTGGCATTTGCAGCATTGAAACTGACAGCTCGCTGTCTAATATAACAGATACGAGAACGATTTACTGACATTTGTACAAACTGCTTCAACAGAGTCTTTTAAGCTTTCCTAAGGTTTGACAACAGACGCTTTTGCACTCATTTAGACCGCAAACACACTAAGATGTCTTCTAACACAGAACGTTTTTGATGAGGCAGAATTAACAATTAGACCATTGTAACCAGTCTAAAGAGGTCTGGGAAGGCCCACCATCAGAAAAGCCAAAGAGTGTGGGACTAGGGGGAGATTTAGCGGGGTGTTTCTTAGTTTAAAAAAAAAAGGAATTGGTTAGTCTTAAAGTGAAAAATAGGCTGAGGAAGAATGAGTGATTGCGATTGATTTGTCCTCTAGTGAACAGCTCCAAAAATGTACCTCTTGACCAGAGTTCATCGAGATGGTCCACCATCTGTGCATTCATCACCCAATTATCTCTAAAACGGTCCAATGAAAGCCCTAACACAATGAAACACAACTTTGACTTGCCCAGTTAATCCAATAATCTGGAAGCAGGTGGTGAATGGACCTTCTGATTGGCTGATCTCGAGCTGAGCACACTGGGTAATTAGTGGGTGTATCAATGAACTAATGGTTATAATTAGACACACACGGAGGAGCTGCACACTCTGGTGACCAGGCCAACCTTCAGCTGACTGCAAAAACCAGTGACATCAGCGTGGGCCGGACACAGATTTAAAACTCTTCCAGTTCGGGATGGTGTAATAATGAAAGCGAGGGTCTGCCACTGGCGTTTTTGGCCCAGGTTTGGCCCCTGTTTTTGCGTCAGCACAAAAAACACATAATACCCTAATGGATCTAGAGACTAACAGAGGTGAGGAGCGTTATTTAAAAAGGAAATGGCTTTGAAAGTAGACCCCGGGGTGGTTGATACTAAAATCTGTTGCGATAAGCCATTTTGGAGTAGTGAAATCTTAGTTCACCCATGTAATGACGCTGCAGGGAAAATGATAAATACTTTATAAGTGTTTTAGCATTTTATTTCAATTCAATGAGTGCTATTAAAGTGCCACGCCAACACTTTTAAAAGTTCATCACTTGCAAGTTTTACATTTCTTAATGAGTCTCATTTGTTATCAGGTATCCGTATATAGTCTTCTGCAATCATGTGATGACAGATCCACACTTACATGTGCCAAACTCATAAACCGTGACCCTCACACTAACACAAGCGCTGTTTACACAGACCAGAGAGGGCAAACAGGCTGTGGACTTTACGAGCCAACATTCACGCCTGTGCGCTTGCCTGTTTGTTTGCGCTGGCCGTCGTGGTCGGTCGGACTCCGCAAACATGGAAAGACGTGATAGAGACCGATAGAAAAAACGGAGGAGAAAAAGACAGACATAAAGAGGCAGCCGTAACTTTAGACGGCTCCTGAAATGTGCTCTGTGATCAGGTTACAGAGCTGCGACCGCATGGCCGTCTCCCCGGAGAGGATCAGGTGAATTCCCAGGATAGGAGGGCCTCAGAAGGCAGACACTCCAGATTTAATTATACGCATTAAAGAGGATTATTCAGCTCTGCATGAGAGAGACAGATGACTACCTGCTCTCCCCCTCTCTTTCTTCGCGCCTTCTACTTTTCTAGCTTTCCATCTCTCTCCGATTTGTCACGAAGGATGCGGGATTAATGACTTGATGTTCTTACCTGGGCAGGGAAGCGTACTGTCGCTCGGCATCCTCATATCGTGGTGTCAGTCTGGGGTCAGGGTTTCTCACTGGCATCTGGTAAAGGCCAAGAAGAGAGCAGAGTGAAAAAGAGACGAGGATGTTTACATGACACATCATATTATATTAGACTGCAATACAGCTACTGCGGTATACACATGGGGGTGTGGCGGTGTCAACAGGGCAGTATACAGTATACACAAAGCATGTTGTACACAATGTTTCAATGTGAGCAATTTTGGCTACTACTGAGAATCAAATCAATATCAAACACAAACGTAGCTGTAAATAATGCTCAAGATATCACAACACTGGAATGCATTTTATAGTTGACCATGATTTAAACATGTTACATTGAACATTGCACTACTCTTGATCTTCATACATTTTAACTTAACTTAAATACATATATTTACATGAGGAAATTATACTGGTTCGGTAAGATTTTTGTTCCACACCAAGGTTGCATTTATTTAATAAACAATACAGTAAAAACAGCAATTTTGTGAAATATAATTACAATTTAAAATGAATGTTTTTGATTTATGTTTTTTTTGTTATGTTCATCATTTATATAATGTATTTTATTATATTATATTTTATATTTATCCCTGTGATTTTCAGCATCATTACTCCAGTCTTCAGTGTCACATGATCCTTCAGAAATCCTTTTTATGCTGATTTGCTTCTCAAGAAACATTTATTAATATTATTATTAATAGTTAACACAGTTGCTGATTAATGTTTTTGTGTAAACTGTGATGCATTTTTGGGTAACACTTTACTTGAAGGGGTGTGCATAAGACTAACATGACACCTTCATAATCATGACATGACACATGTTATGAATATGAAGGAAGTTTTATGCATGTTTATGACAACAGTCATTAAGTGTCATTTGCTCAATTATGACATTTTTAATGCAAATATGACATTGTTTGAGATGTCTTTGTTATGACACCTTGACATAAACAAATACATCATAACCTGTCAAGTGTCTTTGTCATGACAACTTGACATTACTAAGACAACACAACCTGTCATAAACATGACATAGCAGATTAATTATCAAACTTAAGAAACCACGTAGCTTTATTGGTTAACATTACATTAAACTGTCAGGTGGTTGGTTTTGACATTGGCTGTCATGAAGCCATTATAACTTTTTAATGACAAATTTAATGTGTACCACTGTAGTTGAGGTCACGAAAAATATTCATGACACAGTTATAATAATAATAATAATAATAATAACTTTAATTTGTATAGCGCTTTTAAAAGTTAATTCTCAGAGCGCTTTACATAAGCGGAATTAAGAGAACACATAAAAAAAGGCATGGTCGCAAAATACAAAAAGTATTTCGCACAAAATTACAAACCTAAAAACAAATTAAAAATAAATATCAAGACATAGAGAAAACCATAAGATACATCTCATTAACAACAACCAATATCACCTTTATCCAAATGCTTCCGTAAGATAATATGTTTTAAGGGATGATTTAAACCTTTTCAAAGATGGTGCAAATCTTATTTCGGAAGGCAAGGAGTTCCATAACTTTGGGGCAACTGAAGAGAACGCCCTATCACCCATTGTTTTTAGGTTCGTTACCGGAACAACTAAGAGACCAGCATCGACCGAGCGAAGATTACGTGTCGGAATGTAGGGCATTAAAAGCTCGGCAAAATATTGAGGAGCGAGTCCATTCAATGCCTTGTACGTCAACATAAGAATAATGGCCTCATGACAGCCAATGTCAAAACCAACCACATGACAGTTTAACTTAATTTAATGTCAAGTTGTCATGACAAAGACACTGACAGGTTATGATGTTAGGGTTTATGTCAAGATGTCATAACAAAGACATCTTAAACAATGTCATATTTGCATTCAAAATGTCATTGAGCGAAAGACACTTAATGACAGTTGTCATAAACATGCATAAACCCTACTTCATATTCATGACATATGTCATGTCATGGTTATGAAGGTGTCATGTCAGTCTTATGCACACCCCTTCAAGTAAAGTGTTACCCATTTTTGTTTAGGATTCTTTGACGCATAGAAAATAATTTATTTGAAATGGAAAAGTATCATTTGTAACATTATTTGTCTTTACTGTCACTCAATTTAAACCATCCTTGTTAAATAAAACAATTAATTTAACTTAATTAGTTAAAATATACTACCTAAAGATATTACCTAAAGATACTGTTCAAAATAATTTATTTATTAATCATGCTATCTTAAGGTACTTACAACCAGAAATACAGTATATTATTTACACATACAATCACTAGATTAATGTAAATTAAACAAACTAAATATAATGATTTAATTATTATTTAATACAATATCTTATTTAATTGTTTAAGGTCACTATACCTGAAGAAGCACTAAACCATTAATTAGACAGAAATAAAACATGCCAAATGTTTGATTCTAACTGAACTGATAAACAATACTGTATATATATATGTGGACAATTTTGTGCCCACATTCAAAATATCTCTGGCATTTTTGCCATGATCCGTGGTTAATTTCTCAACTTGGTGCAAAGACACCTACTCCACCTAGGCAGACACCAATATCTGTCATGTCACATTACTGTAGAGTTCGTTGTAAAGCATGAATTATCATGCGAGCGACTCATTCAAAGCCACATTCTAGACCAGCGCTGGCCCTGTCACTCTCTCTGCATTCATCACAGAGTCACCTTCCCCCTGAAATACCTGCTGTGCCCTGTAATCAAGCCATGAAAGGCAGTGTGAGTTGCTCACAAAGGCTGCTTATTGGGGGATTTAGTACTGGGAGTCTTGGGGAGGGGGTAAAAAGCCAGATCCCAGATTAAGTTTCTGAAAACAGGATGAAGTCTAGCAGTCCTCCAACCGTCCTGGACTAAGCCTGACTCAAGCTCAAGGAAGAGCCAGATTAACTGTGCGCATTACATTAGCAAGATGAGCAATCTCTTAAAAGACCGGCTAAACCTCCTCTCATTCAGCATGCAGATTTAGGAGTATCTCCGGTTTCCTTCCTCTAAAGGCCGACGCTTTCAACGGGATTTGCTCGCATCGTTTGCAATCATGCTGCTTAGAGCCTGTATAAAACATTTAGAAGCAGCATCTTCCTTACAGCGAGACTTTACCCCATTTGTCTCGCAGTCTTCTTTTCCCTCTTCAGCCGAAAAAGCAGAAAGATGACAGAGGATAGGTACTGTGAGAATTGTACCCTGACACATATAGGCAATTTAATAAATTATAAATACTGTCATATAATCCATGAGGAAATTATTCCAGTAGATTTAGCAGGGCCTGACAGATGAAGGTTGGGGCCATTATGGAAAACTGGCTGCTTTTCCGAGGGCAATATGTGTGAAATTGTGTCATCTGTCTCAATGAGCTGATTTTAAATACACAGCTCGCCGTGCCACCACCTCTCTCTCCACCGTCCTCATAACGGCTGCCCTCCTGCCTGCATATTAGCCACATTTTTTCTCTCAGCCTCGGAAAAACCGAAATGTCTTCAGGGCTTCAATATATATGATGAAAGGACAGGCACACATTACCTGGAAAAAAAGGATAGTTGATTGAGGGGTCAGAATGGAAGTGCTTCTGAATGAAAGAGGAAATGTTCTCAGTTTCAAACAGACTCGCTCTATCTTTGCCTCTCCTTCACGCACGCAATGAACTCCATGAGTAACCGAAGTGGGCGTCTTTGAATGCTGATGATGGTGAAGATTACCATCATGTCCCTGGAGGGTTAAAGACGAGAACTTATCTCCAAATGGAGCAGATACCACTATTTGACACAGTAGAAATACAGACCTTGGTGTTTAAAGTTCAATATTTGGTATAGAAACATTTTAAGGATCCTTCCCCAACAGGCATCAATATCTGACTGGATCTGTTCTACTGTAATGATGGCAGTGATTTGCTTCATTATTTGGCTGCGCCCTCACATTCACACCATGTTGCTAACTGTGTCCACACTCTGCCCTCTCACCATCTGTGCTTTCAACTCTGACAGAAGCTGCCAATCCATGCTGACCGAAAACCAGCCAATCAGGAAAAAATGGACAAACTGAGGAGCATGAAACGAACACACCATAACCCTAAAGCTGATAACAGTGCATACAAGGATAAAAACACCTTTCCAGAGACATAGCCTGTGGCCAGAAAGGAGACGAAGAGATCAATGATGACTTCCCTCATTTAAGGGCTGGTCAGATACAGAAGTGGTGTGGCACAGCAGTTAAGGCTGGTAACTGGATTCGATTGGAGCAAGAAGTGACTCATCACTACTGTGCCTGAGGAGGTCTATTACACCTGGAGAGAGATTTCTGTTAGCATTCTCATTCTTGCTCAGCTGAAAACACGTGATTTCAAATCTGCCATCTTTCCTCATGGCCACAGAAGTATTTGAGCCAATCTCCTGAGCTGCAAATGTCATGTGACTAATCAATCTAGAAGCCTGGGAAATGTACACCAATACAGTACTGATTGGCTGAAGGTACCATGAAATTGAGCACAGTATCAATCCCTTTACAAGTGACTATTCTGAACTTTGATATGAAAGGAAGCAGATTAAAGGGATAATTCACACAAAAATGAAAATTCTGTCATTAGGTTAATTCCTCAGGTTGTTCCAAACCTGTATGAGTTTCTCTCTACTGCTAAACACAAACGATGATGTTTTCAAGAATATGGGAAATCAAACAGTTGATGGACCCCTTTGATTTCATAGTATGAAAAAAAGAAAATACTATGGAAGTCAATGGGGCCCATCAACTGTTTGGTTACAGACATTCTTCAAAATATCTTGTGTTCAGCAGAAGAAAGAAACTCATACAGGGTTGGAACAACCTGAGGGTGAGTAAATGATGACAATTTTCATTTTTGGGTGAACTATCCCTTTAAGTCTATTTTTTGCTTTTAAGAGACTTCAAAAGAAAAGAAATGCACACTGTTCCATCATTAATGAATAACTACACAGGAACAAATGAGTAATGCACTAATAACATTCTAGTAACGAACAAGACACACTAATTAATTAATTA